ATGTCCTTTCTCTTTTTATACCTCTGAAGATGAAGCACCATAAAAAAATCCACACATTTACACTGAGAAGTCAGATGCCTGTCTCGTGACAAGGAACCCATCAGAAGTTAGTCACTAGAAAGTCAGATGCCTGTCTCGTGACAAGGAACCAATCAGAAGTTAGCTGGTGGAGCTATGCTTTACGACCCTGGGTGTGCTTTACGGACAAGCGCACAGCAATGACGTAAGAGCATAGCAACCACCCTGGGAGGGCCTATGGGCCATAACAACCAGTTGACCAATCAACATAGGGCAAGCCCTCCAAGCCTGGAGGCACACCAATCGTGAGCCTGTGCGTATCCCTAGATACTTCCCTTACGCTGCCCTATAAAGATCTGTATGCAGCGGCTTCAAACTGTCTTTGCTAGCCATCCGCCATGGTGGGTGGGTCAAAGACCCGAGCTAACATGGGGTTAGCTCGTTAAACTACAATAAAGCCTCATGCAATTTGCATCAAGCTTTCGCCTCCATTCTGTGATTGGGGTGGCCTCGGTCCTGGGCTAAGATTCTGGAATCCTCAGCTTTCCGAGGGTCTTATAAGACCATCCTTCAGTTCCTGTTTGGTGACCTTTCAGAAACATTTAAGAGGAGTTAGGACAAATACTGACATTGTTTAAGAAAACAACACCTCATCCCCCCACCCCCCACACCCACTGTGCGCATGCCCCTGTTCTCTCCTTTCTTTGCCTGGTTAGATTCTCTGAAAGATCCTTGTATTCAGTACCTGGAAATTAGCTACATCTCTCCTTTCACTCAACTTCTTCAACAAAACCCAACCATGGTAGAACTAGCCTGATTGTTCACCTCCCAGGTGAGCAGCTGGGAGCTGTGGACTGGTCTCACTTCAGAGTTCTCATAACTGATACCAAAAGGCATTCAGGGCTCTGATAACCCTCACTCCACCCCTTCTCTCCCCACTCTCAGCATGTTTCCTACTGCACACATGGCTCCAATGTCTCTGCCTCCCGCACCACGTAGAGCATGAACTTGAAAAGCAGCCCACTGAGAAAGCATAAGTCCTGAGCAGTTGTCTTCTCATGCTCCCACCCTTGCACCTCCACCTCTGCTCCCTTCTGAGCATTAGGCTTGGACTCTCTCCACCCATCTGCCAAGAGCAATTTCTCTTGCCTTCTTCAAGTCCCCCCTACTTCCTTCTCTCCTACTCACTAGCCACAGTCTCAAAGGCATCTCTTAAACCTTTCCCCTCCATCAGACCTTGTAACATTAGGGAACCATCAAGCTCTGTTCTTGGACTCTACTCCTCCATCAATCCACCTGTCTGGGTTTTTCTGTTTGTGTTTGTTTGCTTTTGTTTTTCAAGACAGGGGTTCTCTGCGGCTTTGAGGTTGTCCTGGAACTAGCTCTTGTAGACCAGGCTGGTTTCGAACTCACAAAGATCCTCCTGTCTCTACCTCCCGAGTGCTGGGATTAAAGGCGTGTGCCACCACTGCCTGGCTCCTGTCTGTTTTTTTTTTTTTTATGTCATCTATTCATCAATAACTCCCGCTTCTGCATTTCTTCTTAGCCTTTAGTGACCCTAATGTCTAACTTCACTAAGACACTGTCATTTTAAAGTCAGCATCTCTAAAACACTGTGTAGCAGGCTTTCTTTGAGGCCACCAACCAGCTTCCAAATCATAATACAGAGACATTATTAGTTATGAATGCTTGGCCTTATGTTTGTTTCTTGCTAGCTCTTAAAACAACCTGTTTTTCTTCATCTTCATTTTGCCTAAGGGCTTTTTTAACCTTTCTTTCCTTCTGTATGTCCTACTTGGTGTCTGACTGGCTGGTGGCTGCCTGGTTGGCCCCAGGAGCATCCTTCTCTTTCTCCCTTGTTGTCTCTTCTCTTGAGCCTACCTTCCTCCTATTTATTCTCTCTATCGGCCAGCCCCACCTATCCTTCCTCTGCCTAGCTATTGGCCATTCAGCTTTTTATTAGACCAATCTTAGGCAGGCAAGGTGAAGCAGCAACACATCTTTAAATAATTAAATAATGCTGCATAAACAAATGTAACACATCTTTGCATAGTTAAAGTAATATTCCACAACACTCAATTCTGCCTGTCCACACTAAATCTCTCCCTTTATCCCCAGCAAACCCGACTGATTCTATGTTAAAAATAGCATCAGCACACCAACTCAAACCACCGTCTTCTCTCTTCTGGACATTACCCATCTCCCTGCCTCTTTTCTTTCTCATTCCTTCACTCCGTTGTCAGTCCAGCCTCTGATCAGGCCACACCTCATTATGATGAGTGATTTTGCATATCATAGGAAAGGAAGGCCACTGTCTCCTGAGGGCCTGTGTGGTACTTTGGATTATTTTTCAGAAATGTTCACTTCTTGCCATCCCCGCCTCCAGGGATTAAATGTACTTGCTTATCACCTCTGGGCTTAGCTGTGCAATTCCTCAACAGAATGTTAGCAGACAAGGTGCAGCCAGAGGCTGGAAAGGCATTCTTGCAAATGGCCTTGGACTTTGGCATCTCTGCCACTATCTTGAGATACACATAACAGTGTCAGCTGGGGCGTGGGAAGAGGGCAAGAGATGTGTATTCTTGAGTGGCTTTAAATGAGGCCAGCTTAAACCAGCTGACTCTCAACCAAGTGGCAGAGGGATGCAGACCCTCTTAGGTGAGATTTGCAAAACTTGCCCAGCTGAGCCTTCTGGCTCACAGGTGGCTTTAGGCGGATATGCATTACTGCATGCTTCTGGGAGTCTGTGGTTACTCAGCAGACACTGGTGGGTAAGACAGAACTCCTCCTCACTATCTGACCTTCCCCACTGGTTTACCCCTCACTCTTTTCCAACCGCACTGACCTCTTTGCTGTTTCCCAGCCATCAGGCTCACTCCTACCTCAGCATATGTAAGGTCTATTCTCACCCCTCGGAGACGCCAGGGTTACCGCCTCAGCTCTCTCTGTTGTTTGCATCAAGATCATGTAAAATATGCCTTTCCTCACACCTAAGAACTCCCATCCCAATTCTAGGTTACCATTGTCTAAAATACACTTTCAGCCATTTTCCCTATTATCTCCAATTAAAATATAAGCTTTGCAAAAGCCAAGATTTCTATATTGTTCATTGCTACAACCCCAGTATTTGTGTACATATTAAGTTTTCAGTGAATTGTCTGTGAGTTAAAATAACCCCTCACCAACTCCCTCATTTTACTGTTAAACCCTGGAAGTTCCAAGTCTTTTGGATCCCTTCTCTTCACAAAAACAATATGATGGAAGAATTTTATCCTGCATTCATTGGGTCACTTCTTGGCTAATATAGTGTTGTGCTTTGAATGTGAAGTGTACCTCTAGGCTCATGCTTGAACACTTGGTCCCTAGCTAGGGCTTTGGGGTGGGGCACAGCTGGAGGAAGTGGATCACTGGGGGTGGATCCTTTCTTAGCTCAGCCCCACTTCTTAGGTTGTCTGCTTCCTGACTGCATATTCTCCCTCACACACCAACCACCATGCCTCGCCTGCTAGGTTGGACTATCTTCCTCTCAAATGGTGAGCCCAAATAAACCATCTTCCAGAGGCAGCTTCTAGTCAGGATCAGCACCAAGAAGAGCAGCTGAAACACCACTGTAGGGCAAAGCACAGGCCTCTTTACTCATAGCAGCATTCATTCCAATTTATGCACTCTCATGCTGCTATGGTTTCTCTTATCAATTTGATTCCATGTATTTATGTAGTGTGTGTGTGGGTGCATACGTGCTATGGTGTGCATATGAAGTAGAAGGTAGCTTTCAGAAGTTGGTTCTCCTCTTCCACCATGTGGTTCTCATGAGAGCCCCCAGGATGGACTCCTAACCCTCTTTTTGCATTGATTTGCACTCAAATTCCTCATTCAATCCCACTTGTACTCCAAGGGAAACACCAAGGTATATAATGAGGAGCTTTTGGTGCCATGTTCTATTTTATTTGTTCTTTTTCTTTACACATAATTTCAGTGGGCATAGAGTGCTAAGCTGAGAAAGATTTTTCTTCCCACAACACAGATGTCATACACTGTCTCCTGGCTTTGTTACTATGAGATAGTAATATCTTTTTTTCTTTTGTAAGTGACATGTTTCATTTCTAATACTTTAAAATGTTCTCCTTTTTTTCCTTTTATTGAAAATCGATTTTTTTCCTCACATAATATATTCTGATTAGTTTTTCTTCCCTCTACCCCTCCCAGTTTCTCCCCTCTTCTCCTCCCATTCAGATCTACCTGCCTTCTGTCTCTCATTAGAAAACAAACAGGCTTCGAAGGGATGATAAATGACATGATATGATAAAACAAAAACTAACACACTGGAATAGGACAAAACAAACTGAAGGAAAAGAACTCAAGAAAAGGCACAAGAAACAGATACAGATGCAGAGACCCACTCATTCACACACTCAGAAATCCCACAAAAACACTAAACTAGAAGTCATAATATATACACACATAGTCCTTCCCCCATCAGCGCCCAGCTATGTTTATGTTTGTCTTACTGGTTGAAAAATAAAGCACTGTTGGCCAATAGGGAAGCAAGATAGGTGGGACTAGGAGTCGAGGAGGATTCTGGGAAATGTAGTAAAGAGTGGGAGGCGCCATGTGAGGTTGGCGCCCTCAGTAAGATAAGTCCTTGTAAAAATACATAGATTAGTAGTTATGGGTTAATAATTAAGTCAGAGCTAGCCATTAAGAAACCATAGCCAAAGGCCAACAGCTTTATAATTAATATAGTGTCTCTTGTATTGTTTGGGTTTGACATGACACTGGGACCAGACTGGCGGCAAGAGTTACTGTAACAGTGCACACCCTTAATCCCAGCACTCAAAAAGCAGAGGCAGGCAGATCTCTGTGAGTTCAAGGCCAGTCTGGTCTCAAAGTGAGTTCCAGGACAGCCAGAGCTGTTACATAGAAAAACTCTGTCTCTAAAAGCCAAATGTGTATGTGTAGAATATATACAAAATACAAATATATTGCCATAACATATACACAAATATATTATGCACATATAACATTGTATAAGCATAAGGAACCGAGTTTAGATTCCCCACTGTAAAAGCCAGGCATGGCAGTTTTCCCCAATTTAACTCCACTCTTCAGTCCCACTAACCGAAATACATGTGGCCTCGCTTATTCATAGCCATAATCCCAGTGCCCTCGTACAAGCAGTGCTCGAATCCTGGGTAGACAAAGTCCATGTCAACCTTCTCTGGCATTCCCAGTTCAAGAAATATCCACTCTGGTCTCCTGTTCATCCTGCCTGGGGGACATTCCTTGCAGCCCCTGTGCACTTTCAGCACCTGTAATTTCTCTTTACTGCTTTCACTCCCTGACAGATTAAACCATTAACATGAAGCGTGATCTAGGCAAGGCAAACTGGCCACCAGCATTGCAGCAGTCAGGACTGTTGAAAAGCACATGCTTCCTCTTGCTCCTGTGAGGATGGGGCAGTCTGCACTCCACAGCATTCACGATCCTCTCCAGCAGCGGAGCTTGCAATTCATTTGAAGTGCACTCATTTCCTTAAGCTCTGGGATGCAGAGCACTGTTTGTCATCACATTTCCCCCTCACCGAAAATAAAAGAACAGCTCCTATTAAGCCTCGAACTGTTAGGCTGTGCAGACATGAAAACAGACAAAGAGCTTCTTTTCTTATTTGGTAAATATTTAGCTTTTGAGGCATCAGTAACTAATCACAGCTGTTTCCTTCAGTTACAAATGGATTCAATCAGGTAAAATTTCAAATGAAACTCAAAAACCACCAGTCATTCCATTATACTGCACAATGGCCATGGCAGGGCTTGTGAAATATATGTATTAAATATGCATGTATTCATCAAATCAGACAAAGAAGCTAATGGGTCTCTGATTAGTGTTCTAACTCTATTATGGTGATGCTTCCATCACACCCTGACTCATCTACAGCATGGGAACACAACACTGGGAAGTCTAATACACAAGCTGTCATACCGTCACTCTGTCTGAATACTGCACATTGATTTTTTTTGGCTAGAATTCCTCTTGAAAAATTGAAGGCAAAATAGAGCTGTGAAGCTGGAGTACTCTTTAATTTTAATATTAGTAATTAGAAATTTCTAATATTAAAAGTATTAAAGCTAAACCAAACTAAACAAATCCCTGTTTATCTCTACTAAGACTTACAAACAATCTTGTTTTCAAAGGGACTCTAGAGTGATAGTAGTGAACAATGTCCAATTCAACATAGATAAACAGCTGATATCGTTTTATTCTGTGCTAAAAATTACAGATTTTGTGACAACATACAAACAAATTTCTATTATAATAAATTGATACTCTGAATTAAGAATAACAAAATTTTACTTATTCACAAACTTGAAGCTGCTTGCTTTGTTTAGAGGTGATCAATTTTGATGCATCATTTAGATTTACAGAGATGACTGTCAGTCAAGTGTACAGTCAGTTAGGTCTAAGTTCTCTGTGTTAAATTATGTTCTTTGGCACATGCCTGTAATCTCAGCACTCAGGGCTCTGAGGCTGGATTACGAGTTTGAAGCCAACCTGGGCTACATAGAAACATAGAAACTGTTTCAAACATGCATGTCCCCACACACGCACACACACACACACACACACACACACACACACACACACACACACACGAGAATCTAGAGAGTGCAATGAATCACCCTGCATTCCTTGATAGACTACAAGCAATGTAACTCCACCAAGACCAGAGTGGTGTCGATAATACAGACTTGCCTCCACAGGCACCCAGCTCTAACCTGTAAAGGCCTACTATGGAAAGTAACAGTGAGGTGTTAATTAACAACATTATCAACTCTTATTAAAAATGAACAACTTTGGGTACTTTAGTTTTCGGTTTCTGCGTTTTGGGCAGATCCAGAACTTCTTCATAGTCTGCACTCATTCCCTGTGTCCAGCGACCAACTGTGACCATCCGATCTGTAGAGGGATAAAACAATCAAATATAAAAACAAGTAATCAAATGCTTCACTTAGAGTGGTATCGGTTGAGCAAAGGAACTAGTTTTGACATGAATAATCACTAGAGAAGCCCCCATCCCGGCAGGAAAGTGAGCAACTCTGTAATTGATTAGAACCCTTGATTTCTAAGTACTACAGGCAATTTCTCATCCCAATTAGGGAAATGCAGCAGCTACTTTGCAATGCACAAACTGATGAGAAAGCTACTTCATTCTTTCCCAGAGTTCATCACTGAAGAGGCAATGAATTCCAAGAGCCCGTAAACAGCAAGACTTAGGAGGCATTAGATTTAAATGCACACGATTCCACCTGTGAAATTATACAACATCTGCTTGTCAGTTTTGTCATTTGGGAAGTGGCAATCCTCCCAGGAGGGAGAATTCAAATCCCACTTCATCATTTCAATCTCACTGCCTACACCATATAAAGATGATCTCCTTCTAGACAAGATTATAAACAACAACTCCTGGTTTTTTGCATTTAAACATTAGGGGAAGAAAGTAAGAATGGGGAGACAGTGATGAATTATGTCTATGAAATAAGCCCTGGGGACCCACCTCTCCATGCCTTCCCAGGGCTGAGATTTCAGGCATGCAACCACCATGGCCAGCTTTCTAGTCAGTTCTGGGGGCCGAAGTCAGGTCCACATGCCATTGAAACACCTGCCCAGGCCTGCTTGCTTTCTTCAACACAAGGTCATCTCTACTCTAATCCTGGCAAACTAAGGGAATAATGAACTCTACTTCTGTAGAAGTCTGCTGCATGTCTAACAGTGAACATTTAGAAGTTTTCAATGACCAAGGCTAGTATTTCACTAGAAGGAAAAAGGTACTAGGCAGACGCTGTACTGATAACACAGTTTTAGTAAGTTAACAGCTTTACAATCATTTAGAACACAAAGCTCATGAGGATACTCAGGCTTATGAATGTTGAAAATTAATTTTGTATTTGAGTTCTAGCTTAGGAATCAATACTTTTTTGCTAAGTAACCAAGTAAGTTCTAGTATAATTAACTCCATTTCTGAGCAAATACACAAGCTTGTAAGATGTTTTTCAAAATAGAGTCCTGCAGTTTACCAGCTCTCTTCCCCAGAACAGACCTGAAGTCCAAGGCCTCAGGACTGGTGAGGTCACTGTCACAGGGCACAGCAGCTGTCTGCAGGCAACAGGGCCTCTCTGAGTTATTACTAACGGGATCAGTGAGCACAGAGAGAAATACCCTTATAGACGGAGGCCCAGGAGCTCACCTGAATTCTGATTTTCAGGACAATCTTTCTTAAAATGTTCCACAGAGCCACAGAGTGTACAGCCGCCACCTAGTAAAAGACAGAGTCACTGAGAACTATATCATCCTGACACAGGGTTTGTGACATGGATGAATACTTTCATGTTTTCCCATTGCTGATGACTGTAAAGGTAGCTGCTGTCAGGAAGCTGGGTGGGTACCATCACTCCTGTTAGTAACTCCTTTGCCATTCCTGAGTTTCAGAAGCTGCTCTTGTACCTGGCCTTTGAGAGAAGTGGAGAAGAGACACATGACAGAAGTCACCTGTCCAAGAGCCATGGCACAGAAGTATAGAGTTTTCTCATGGAGAATCAGTCAAGGTATGGAGCCTTCACCTGGAAACAAAACTTGTACAGGGCCACATCCTACCTCAGAGGATGCCCACAGTTTCTCAGAAAGCAGTGGCTCCCAAAATGGTTAGCAAGCAACACTGCTCTAATAGATAGGTCAGATGGGGGTAGTCATTACTTAAGGGAAATCTGTTTCATACCTTCCATTGGCAGTCCTGCTACCCTAAAAAACACCCCCATCTATCTAATTTAAGCAACACTCCGGGATGGTGAGTTACAACATGTGGTACCCACAATGGGGCTTTCACATAGTAATAATCATGTCTGTGTGACATGCCAAATCAGAAAAGGTCCCCACAGGATACAAACCTGTCTCTCAAGTATGGCATGCACTTCCCTTGCTTTAAAACAACAATAAAAACTATCCAAGTCTGGCTCAGCATGCAAAGCCATTTTTGCTCACAAGTCAACTTTCCAGGCCCGAGACCCATCTTTATGCCACTGTGAAAACAGAAGAGGCCTCTGAGTAGTGCACTTACTTTAAAATAGATACAGGCCACAACTGAGCAAATCTAAGACACCACTGATGCATTTACCTAAATTGTTCTAATATTAACCTTGGGAGTCAGATATTGGGGTAAAAACCTGATAGGCTCAAAGAGCAATGGAGGAATGATCAGCTAGCTGATCCTGCCTTTCTACGAGTCCCAGATCAAAAAGGCCCAGCAAAATCCCCAAGTCCCTCCCTACTACGTCCTGTGCATCTCTCTATCCAGCTCCGAGTCCTCCATACCTCTATGGTTAATTCTAGTCAACTAGTCCCTGACTCCGTCCCCTGATTCAATTCTAACGTTATTACCAGTCTCAGAGTGTCAGGGTGAACAAATATCCTACAACGAATCACTGATTGTAAGGTGTGCCATTACTTTACACATCTTTCAGAAAGTCAAAAAAGATGCCTATCCATGTAGGAGCCACTGATGGTATGATACAGTTTGATTTTGCATATAAAAATGGAAAAAATGCATCTCAGAATCAATGAAATCTAATTTCCATATTTCCATCATAAAGGTAACAAACTGACACAAGGACCATTCAGTAACTTGGCCGAAGACCTGAGACTGGTAAGTAGTGGTTAAAACTGATTCTACACATTTTCTCTATTGGACCTTGAGGAGGGAGACTCAAGACATGACACAGAAATGCCAAGAATCCACTGGCACCAGCCATTTTATTAACAGACAATAATTTCCCCCTGCAGGTGTTCTGACACAACAGTGTTTTTTGCAGACACTGAGACACAGACAATAAAGTTACATGAAGCCCCAGGTCATGCATAAGGAGAAACTTCAGAAACAAATATCACAACAAAACAGAACAGTGTGTACCACACACACAGAATGGCATGCTAGGATGACATTCACATATTACACAGCTTTTCAGATATTTTACTAAATTGAAATATAATCTCTCTACTTCTGTTGTGCTTAAACAATAGATATTTAATACATTCTCACAAATAATGCTGAAGCAAGTAGTTTGAGAAATATTCTGTAGCCTACCTCCCTCCCCCTGATTTTTTAATAAGTTAAACTATAGTACACTAGTAGCCCAGCACAGAACAGTACTTGGTAAAGGCACTCAAGGTTTCACCTATTCAAAAATTTATTTTAAAAAGTCAGATCTTAATTCTGAGCAATGTGCACTTGTTGGACACACAAGAGCAATGGCACTCACCATCGGCATAGACTCCTTTGGGATTTTCAGAGCAGGACCTAGACAGGTGCCCCATTTCTCCACAGACAAAACATTTTGCAAAAGGAAATTCACCTGTAAGAATCAATGTTCCCATTAATTTATTCTGTTTATGACAAGTTGTATAATTAACAAGTTGGCTATTTAATGGTAACCTTCCCACGGCACCAAACATAAACCTAAAAGAGAACATACCCAGAGCGGGGTCTACCCTAGCTCTGCACTTCGTGATCTCATGCTCCGTGGACCCGCATCGGTAACAAATGCCAGTGCCCATGTCCTGACTTTCCAGTGCAGCCGGGCAATCGGCGACTCCGTGCCCAGGTCTTCTACAATGGAAGCATACCTGGGAAAACAAAATATCAGTCCACGTGGTAAAACTACTCTCCTGTCTTTACTAATTCATTCATCAAAACTGTCTTATTTTGTGTTTTAAAGTTAAAAAAAAAAAAAAAGAAGGAAATACTTTCCATATCCCCAAAGGTCAGATGTCAGTTTCTGTTATGGCACTGTAAGTGCTTCTGATAACTAATCCCATTAATCCATTAGTCTTAGACACAAAGTCATAAATGGCTTTGTAGGAGGCAGTTGCTCATATGAATTGAACAAATATGGGTCATACATCTTTTACTAAGGATGCCTGCATGAGAAAACAAAGGTTATGTTTGGGGGAGGGACCTCTGTAGAACTCACACAATGGCTATAAAAAGGACCACTCAAATTAACACTTGTATTTTTAAATTTCACATAGTTGACTGAAGCTTCCTTCAACGTCTCCACTATGACGCAGATCACAAGGAGCTCTCTGGGTAGGTCAAGCCGGTGGGTGTGTTCGAACAGCTGAGTGGAACTGGCCAGGAGCCAAGGGTCATCAGTGCTGGGAGGCACCAAAATATCATTAGGGTGTGGATACTTGAGAGATTGTGGCATCTGAGACCCATAGTGCTAAGGATAGCAGTGAGGACCATCCCACTGCTCTGCCTAGCCAGGGCAGGTCTAATGTCACCAATACTAATGGGGAGGTCAGAAAATCACTAGAACAGTTGTCTGCTCACATAAACATAACAGTTGGACAAACCACTTGAAAGAAAGACTGTCAGAAAGAAAGGGTCATGTCATGATCACCAGCCAAATCCTGTCACACACAGTCTCCTAAAAATGGGAACTCTGACATGGCCACCATAAACAGGTACTATCTATGGAGGCCAACTGCCTCGAAACCTGAGGCCATGATAATCCAGTGTACTCCATACTGCCTGATTGTGCTTCTTTATAGACAGAAGGCCCATCAAAATACAGTGAGGGTTTCCTGAACTTCCCGAGTACCATGATACAACAGCCCACATTTTCTTCATCGGGAGTATGGATGGAAGAGAAGTATTAAGTGAAGTCACAGCCTATTTGCCAAGGCCAGAGGACCCTGAAGGCATGCGTGGTAGACAGCACTCCTGTTATAGCCAATAGTTCACAAGAGGAAAGCAATGGATCTCACTTGACTTGCTGTCTAGTAAAGTGATTAGTGGAAAGGAAATTTGAAGACTATGTAACAGTGGTTGACATTGGCTCCCAACAATATTATGTGGTGGGTCAGAACTATCATCCAAAACAAGCTATAAATGGTGAAAATACTAAGATGTTAAAAGAGTAATTAGGTAAACTATGGGAAGAGGAAATCCATCTTACTTTGCTTCCAGGATGTGCCAGCAACACAGTGAAGGATGTCGATGTTTATTCATGACAGTCACACTGAGAGACAGATTTCATTGACTAAAGAGCTTCTGGGTATTCAAAACATCACCCAGACTATGTAACTTCAAAAAACAAGTCTCTCCTGAGAATTGCAGACCATGGAAGAAATCTAAACCATGTCAAGTCATTTAGAGGCCAAGTATGTTGGCAGATGCCTGCAACTCCAGTACATGGTAGGCATGGACAAGAAATCACCCTGTCTGAGGCGAGCCTGGTCTACATAGCTAGTTCCAGTAGTCAAGGCTACACAACAAACCACCGTCTCAAAACAAACTAACAAAAAGCACAACAACAAAAATCTAAGGCCTCTAACAGTCTACCTCACATTTAAGTGGAAAATGGCCCAAAGCAGCAGAGTGGCATTTAAACCACAAGCAAAAGTTAGACTGGACTTAATCAGGAGCTATAAAACCACCATCACTAATTTTAATTGTATTTTGTTAAAAAAAAAAAAACTTAAATAACAGCAACTATTTTCTTACATTGAAAATACTTTAAAAGTTTAAACAGCATACTAAATAATATTGAAGTTTTTGTCCACATGGATAATTAGTATTATGATAACCAATGCCTCTTTTCAAAAAGGTACAACCAGCATGCATAATAAAAACTTGGAACTAGGTCTGGAGAGATGTTAAGAGCCCTGCTGATCCTCCAAAGGACCCAGATTCAACCTCCAGCACCCACAAGAGGGGTAGGAGCTCACAACTGTCTGTAACTTCAGTTCCAGGGGAAGCAATGCCCTCTTCTGGCTTCCTAGGCCGCCAGGCACACAAGTGGTTCACAGACATATATGCAGGCAATACACCCATAAATACAAAATAAAAATTTATTTGACCCACAGCCAGACATAATGCAGAGATAGAGTCTAAATTGGAGGTCCTCATCGGGTCCCTCATCTCTCCTCTCGGAGCTTGGGGAACCCTGTGGAAGAGATGGGGGAGGAAAGATTGTAGGAGTCAGAGGGGATGGAGGACACCAGGAGAACATGGCCCACTGAATCAACTAAGCAGCACACTCATGTGGGCTCATAGAGACTGAAACAGCAAAAATGCAGCCTGTATGGATCTATGCATGTGTTATATCTATTAGCTTGTTTTTTGGGGACTCCTAACAATGAGAACAGTGGGTCTCTGACTATTCTGCCTGCTCATGGGACTCTTTTCCTCCTACTGGGTTGCCTTGTCTCAATGAGGGATTTTTCCTGGACTTATTGTATCTTATTTGTTGTGTCTGGTTGCTGTCTCTTGGAGGCCTGCTCTTTTCTGAAGGGAAATGGAGGGAGACTGGATCTAGGGGAGAGGGTAAGTTAAGGGATGTTGGGAGAAGTGTAGGGAGAAGAAACTGTGGTCAGGATGTATTGTACGAGAGAAGAATCTGTTTTCAATCATCATCATCAAATTAAATTAGGGATTTACTCAGGTATGTTTACACTTTTTAATTCCAGCACTCGATTGGCAGAGAAAGGCAGACCAATGTGAGTTCACAGCCGGTGGGTCCACATAGCCAGATCTAGGCCAGCCAAAGCTACAAAGTGATACCCTTTCTCAAAAAAGAAAATGAAAACAAACAAAAAACCAAACATAAGGTAGAAGGTAAATGAACCGTACTTTCAAAAATGTCTTTTAGGGCTGGAGAGATGGCCGAGTCATTAAAGTTCTTGCCACACATGCGTGACAACCTGAATTCAAGCCTCAGACACCACATAAAAAGTAAGTCAAGTGTTGCAAAGCAGGTAGAATCCCAAATGGCCTGTTAGCTAGCCTGTAGAGTCTAACTAGAAAGTTCTAGGACAGTGAGAAATAGTGAAAGACCCTGCCTCAAAAACAAGGTAGATGGTGCCTGAGGAATGACACCTGGAGTTATCTTCTGGCTTCTACACACATAGGCACACAGAAATGGTTTTTGGCTAGACATGGTGTCCTAAACCTACAACTCCAGCCACCCCCACACCAACCACACACAAACATGTGCATGAGCACAAACGAGCTTGGAAGTCATAACAAGTGAGGGCTGTGATGTCATTATGCCTGGCCTCTACCAACCTGGGGAAGTTTACTGCCTCAGATTCTGGAACCTACCATTGACAAACACAGTTCTTGAAGCTTCCTTAACTTTCATGTCGAGAGGATTACAGGGATCTCTTTCTTGTGAATGAACTTTTTATGGATAACAGCAAAAGAACAGCCATTCCTTCTAAGCAATGGGAACCATCTTCAACTTGTGGTATCGAATATTTTTTTTCAACGGCTATTTGAAAAGGTATTACCATAAGACAGTGATAGGGCAAACATAGGTTTTGAATTCAGTTTGAATCTCACCTCAGCACTAACTAAGTGGCTTTCAGCAAGTCACTTAACCTGGGCACACTTCTGTGTTTTCTGCCTGTAATATGGGACTGTAATATAACAACCTGTGTAGTGTTGTTATGAAAACTAACCAGTACAGTAAGTGTGTGTGTGTATACACATGCTAAAAAGCACAGACCTTAAAAAGATGCACTAGGACGGCAGCAACTGGGCTCTGTTAAAATACGTATTGTGTGAGTAGATGAATAACAGCTTCTAGTTACACAAAGAAGTAAATTACAAACAGACATAATGATCTCACCATTGCATTTTTCTTTGCTGCTTGTCTTTTTAACCGTCTTTCTTCCCGTCGGCTGTCTTTCTTTAAGGCCACTGCAATTTCTTCCCGTAATTCCTGGCTGTCTGTTGCTATCAACTCTCCATTGTGAAGCCTCTTCGAGTTCTGTTTTAGGTATTCCATGAATCCATTCACATCTTCATTTAAGTACTCTTTTTTCTTTTTGTTCTTTTTCTGTTTTGCTTGAGGGGTATCATTTTTAAGGGGCAGCCTACTGAATTGACGTTGTCTATGCTTTGGAAGGTTTTGGTCTGTGCTCTCTGCAGATCCCTTCTTCATGTCCTCCCATGATGTTGCAGACAAGGGTCTCTTATTATTTGAGGTGGTCACTCTAGCCCATCTGGTCATGGTTTCAGCTGAGGCACTTTAAAGATCTGCAAGATAAGAACAAGTAGTATTCAACTGATTCAAAATTTATGGTATACAGACAGGTCATTATCATCAAAAATACTCATATTTCAAACTTTAAATCATTAGAACTCTACATTTAGGTATCTGCATGGACACACAGTATGCTGCAAAGATATTTCTCTAAGATAATTTTGGCACTGATGAGAGAAGTTCCATTCCAGGTGAAGAAAAAGACACGTACGTATCTTTGCTTAAAACTTTGCAAGTTGCCGACGAGTGATTTTTAAATCAGAAATCACATGCAAGTACTGTGAATGGTCTCCTCAAATCCTTTGGCTTTTCTGGCCATTTCATTCATTTCCTACTTTTAAACCCAGGCTACTTTCTCCCAATGTGTTTGCCATTTCAATTCGACAGATTGCAAAGCACATTAGTAAGCATACAGAAGGGTTGTCCGTAAGTTTGTCTTTATAGTTCTTCCTGGTAGATTTATAAATTAAGTATATAGTGTTTTTGGTCACATGAAAATCTTCTCTTATTAATAAGGGAGATTGTCATTTGCAGTCTAATGGGTTTAAGTCATTTTCAATTATCCCATTTCAGTGATTCATATTGTAAAACAAACTTCATACCAAGAAGTCTTGTTTGTATACCCTTAATAAATATGTTCGAATAGTCACAAGTAGGTTTCGTTTAGAGTACAGACGTGCACGGTTTTTTAAAGGAGTAGTTTATTTTAAGACTAATTATTTGGCTCCAACATAAAACTGAATAGTTTACTTTGCATGCTACCTAGCAATTCCAAGAACGGTTTCTTTTCCTCTTCAGTGAATGAGAACATCAGACACAACCCAAGAATGGAGTTGCCACTTTCACTGCAGCTGCCTGGCAGGCAGCTTAAAGCCTTGGCGCCGGCAGTCTGCAGCATGCCTTCAGGACCGGTAAGTGACGCTGCACGCCACTTCACAGCGCACTGGTCCCGGGTGACTGTCACCAAGAGGGTGGATCCTCCTCCTGACACCCCGGATGGGAGGCTCGGGTGTCAGGAAGATGACACGGGACGGTTGGACATAGGTGCTCCCACACGGGCGGCTGTGCTTCTCCCCATCCGCCCCCAGCAGCGCGTCCCGCAGGCACCCTGGGCCTGTTCCCAAGAGCCGAGCTGGGCGATCCGGCTATCGCCGGTCTCTGTCCTCGCGCCTCCCGCACGAGTCCGGCTCCAGCCCGCCAGCGACGGCACGGAGGCCCGCACACTGCAACCAGTGGCGCCCGGTAGCTCCTTACCCGTGTGAATCCTCCAGAGGAGCTGAGACAGCTAGCCAGAGAAGCCGGGCCCCGCACGAGGGCGCGGTCTTGCAGACCGGAAGTACACATTCCCTGACGCGTCACTTCCGGCGTGCCGGGCCTGGGTCGGGTGAGGCGTGGGTGAGTGTTGGTGAGGCTGGGGAAAGTGGCAGGTGTAAGTTTGTGAGTTGTGTGTGTCTGCAGGGCGCTGCGCTGCGTCCTGGGACACGAAGATGATCGCTCTGTCTGTACTGTCCTGGACTGTGCTGTTTAGAGGGAGACACAGACGAAAGGACGGCTGGGATTTGGTATGGTAAATGCCACAAGTATGCTAGAAAGTGTAAAAGTGCAGAAACAATCCGCAAGCAGTTGGGAAGCGAGCAGCTTAAAAGACGTGTGATAACGCTCCTCATACCTTCGTGACTTCAGCCAGCTGGCTCCAGCCTACCGACGGTTGAACTCCGTGGGAGGTTTCACGTTTTGTGGGCACCTAGCCTTGAACACAATGTATACCACTAGATGGCGCAGTCAACGAAAACGTGCTGAATTTCCTGGCAGACCTGATTCCTGGATGTGAGGATGAAGATCAGTAGTACAGTAAACAGGCCAGAGACTAAACCCTTTGGGGTTCATGAGGAAACTTTAGCGTTCCTACTAGTAATATCTACTATTTACTTATAAGGGCCGGGTGCTACATAGGATAGATACACTATAACCCTGACCAATCTAACCTACCCAGTATCCTGAGAGGGAGCTATTGCTTTCTCCATTTACCTACAAGGAAATAAACCCAGAGAGGTGAAATCACTTACTCAAGGTCATACAGCCAGTAGGAAACAGAAACTTTGAACCAGAGTCTCAGGCTTTAGTTTTGTTCTCTACTATTTTAAATACCACAGAGCGATGTTTACTTGAACTCATCTTAATATGCTTTACTGGGTTATCCGTGCCAGTGTAAGACTTAAGTGGTGTATTTATTTATAATTCAATGGATTGTATTTTATTCAATTTTCCCTCTTACTGATATAAATATATTATTTCATGATAAAATGTTAGAAAAATGTTAAGTTCGGAGCCAAGGGTTTCATTGTCATGGGATTTACTTCATTTTCACATTATAAATCATCTGTATTAGGGTTCTCTAGAGGGACGGAACTGATAGAGTGAATATAGATACAATAAATATAAAGAGGTATTTAAAATTGTATGTTTATAAAGGACACTCATGGGATTTATTAGAATGACTTCCAAGCTATGGTCCAGCTGGTTCAACAGTGACTGTCTACCAAGGGAAGGTCCAAGAGTCCAGTAGTTGCTCAGTCCACAATCTGGATGTCTCAGCTGGTTTTCAGTATACACTGTAATCCCAAAGAAGTAGGCTCCAATGCCAGAGAAAGAATGGACTTGCCAGTGAGCAACCAGGCAGGGAAAGCAAGCTTCCTTTTTTCATGTCCTTGATACAAAGTGCCAGCAGAAGGTGTGGTTCAGATTAAAAGTAGATCTTCCCACCTCAAAGATCTGAATTAAACGTGGGTCTTTCCACTTAATATGAATTAATTAAGAAAAATCCTTCACAAGTGTGCCCAGTCACTTAGTTAATTCCAGATGTAGCCAAGTTGACAGCAAGAATAGCTACCATGATAGCTTAAAAAGATACATGATAGGAAACAACATGCACAGTATGTAACATATGAAGTATATAAACATACAAAACAATTCTAAAATACCTCTTTGTAAATTTACCCAATTTAAGAAACTGGCCACTACCACATATTCTTTTCATTATACTAATGTGATTTTTAGCATGCACAATATGTTTATGTGTCAAACAAAAAGGAGTTTATATGATGATATAAACTTTTTACTATTTCTCATCCTGATGATACCTATAAATCCCAGACACTATAAAAACTGCTGTGAGATTCAGAAAAATAAGTAAATAGTTGCCCGGTGTTGGTGGCACACACCTTTAATCCCAGCACTCAGGAGGCAGAGGCAGGCGTATCTCTATGAGTTCAAGGCCAGCGTGTTCTCCAGAGTGAGTGCCAGGATAGGCTCCAAAGCTACACAGAGAAACCATGTCTCGAGAAACCAAAAAAAAAAAAAAAAAAAAAAAAAAAGTAAATAGTTGTAGAGGGGAGTGAGAACATAAAGAAGTACATGACTAAATGTCCTTTTCAATACATGTTTGAGGAAGGGATGTTTGCATCAGAAGTAGACGGCAGCCATAGGTGGCAGAGCAGGAATGGCTAAACCCTTACTAGCATCTGATTTAGCCTGTAAAAACCAACCAAAGCAGCATCCAACAGCCATACCTGGGCAAATTGTAGAGGGCGGGGAACTATGAAAATGAGTCCTCTGTGTCTGTATGTGAACCCACACAGGACTCCAAGACTGGCCCCAGATAAACTGAGATTGGAATTGCTACCCACAAAATATGAGGCAAAGTTGACAGTACAAGTCTAAACACATCAGTTGTTTTTGTGTTTGTTTTTTTTTTCTTGAGGAATAAAACAGAACTTGGAGTATGTACAAAATAACATCCACCATTTCCAGAATAAAATCTAAAATAGTTTGATACATAAAGAACTAGGAAAATATAAAACATTATCAGAAACAGACAAACCGGGACACAAAAATGCCACCTCCATTATCCAGGTCTCTAGAGGAACAGGTCCAAAAGAGAATATGAATACATGCATACATATTCGTGTGTGTGTGTGTGTGTGTGTGTGTGTGTGTGTGTGTGTGTTGGATTGTCTTCTATGATTGGATGTTGGTTCAAACTTGATGTGTTCATCCAAGTAGTTGTTCATCCAAATAATTGCTCACTCCAAGAAGCCAGAAGCCCCATGTGGGAAATGATGGGCGTGGCCCAAAGCTGAAGTCTTGAAGCTTCCTAGAGACTCACTGGTCTGCATAGGAAGGGTGAAGAAGGAGGAGTCTGCTATCCATGGTGACAGCAGCAATGATGTACTCCCTCAAGAAGGGAACAAGCATAAGCTGACCAGCTTCCACCCACTTTTTCATCTTCCCCACCCCCAGCCTATTGAGTGCTGCTCCCCACATTCTGAGTGGGTCTTTTCCTCTCCCACCTGTTGGTCCTCTCTGGAAATGCCCTCATAGATACAACTAGAAGAGTGTTTTATTAACACACCAGCATCTCTCAATCCAGTCTCCAAGATTAACCATCATATCTTGAAAATGACCTACATGCTAGAATTATCAAAGTCTTTAAATAAATAACATTTTACATCTTATGTCGAGGAAATAAATAAATGCTAAAAATGATTTAAACACTTTGAAAAAACTGTAAAGGGGTCATAAGATGGTCAGTCTTTATAGAAATTTTAATGTAAGTTCTAGGGATCGAAACTCAGGTCTGGATGCTTGCATGACAAGTGCTTTACCTGTTGAGCCATCTTCCCAGCCCTGTTCTTGTGTCTAAAAAACCCAAGGGCTCAATGTGTAACTCGGTTGCGGAGCATTTGCCCAGCACATGTGAGCCCCCTATATTTGATCCAAGAATACAGAGAAGAATATGCATCCTCATGTGGGTAGATACTGATTAATTGTTGTCTAGAGCTTGTGCCTATTCACTCATAGGCAGTGTATGAGAGCAGTGTGCACTAGCTGGTCCTGTATTATGTGTCATGGCTGTGATCAGTGGAAGGCAGAGTAGACCAGTTTGCTTATGTCATGATATGTGGAATTGGATCCAGCCCCAATAGCATTTTATATATCCATTTCTGCACAATTCCTCTCTGTGTGACAGGTGATTGGTGAAAGGGACCAGGAGTCTTCAAGGCCCTGGCTGGGTCTTTTCAGTGAACAGCTTCCAGGCAACCAGCTTTTTTGCTCCAGGGTCATGTGGAATACAGACTATGTAGAGGAAGTCTGGAAGCAGATTTTGTCAAATTAAAGTGTTCACATTTTATCACTGAGTTTAAGTATTTTAGTATTAGTTACTTTAAAGTCACTGAAAGAGGGAGATTTTATTTGGTTCTTGTTTCAGACCATTGTGTCCAGGGGAAGCATTGCAGAGCAGCTCAGTTGGTGGGAGGAGTGCATGGCAGAAAGTTGGTCAAGTCAGAGCAGACAGGAAACAGGAAAGTGGGAAGAACCCTAGGCTCGGTACACACTTCAAAACTGAATCACAAGTAGGTCCCACCTCTCAGATATTCCACAGCCTCCCAAAATATCACTGTCAGCCCTGGTGTGGGTGGGGTGTTTAGATTCAAATCATGGCGGATTGTAAAGATGTGCGTTGCCATTCTAGATTTTACAGTATACCACATAAAACTGAGGTGAAGGTTTCATATGAAATAAAGAGTGTGCCTAATTTGGTGATCAGCACCCTTTGGACATCAATTGAATTTCATTAAAATGTACAGAAAAATAGAGAAACAGAAGATGGAAATGAATTATGGGCTCCTTTGTTTGAAGCAGAATTGAGATGTGGACCAGTGATGCTGTAACAAGCTCTTTCTTAAAAACCTGTCAATGTTTGTAAAGCTGTCTTAGAATCCTTGCAATAAGGCTTGTAGATAATACAATTATGAGTTTCTTCATAAATCACTTATTCAATGAGTATGTGTTAAATGTAGAATCGTTTTAAAGAGTTTTAAGCCATGGGGCTTTGACACAGAACATAAGAATTTGCAATAAAACATACATAAGTATATATCTCTCTATTTCACAAGTCCATAAATCTCAGAAAAGTGACTACCCTAGGACATAATGCTAGAAACAGAATTTTGTTACCTAACATGCCCATATGGTCCTTATTTTCACCTGCATTGTTAGTTCTCTTCCTCAATAACAAAAATCTTAAGCATCATTTCTTCATTTCAGAAGTGGGCCAAAGGGCATCTGAAGTGTCTGCAATGAAACAACTGTTAGTAGGAGTTGTAAGGTTGCTAAGCAATAAATGGGAATGGGATTTGGTTCTGCTGTTCCCAGAAAGAGTCTAAACCATTTTCCTATCCTTTGCTTTAAGATGATAAATAATAGGATCAGAGCACTAATTGCAAAAATGATGAGGACTTCTAAGTGTGCTCTCAGCCTCTTCTGGTGTCTCTCTAATTCAAGTCCCTAATCACGATTCGTACACGTTAGCATGTCAAGTGCGGCAAAGGAGTGCTTACACCTACATT